CGATCCGGGCACCGGCGAGAAACAATGAGGTAGCGTTTCTTGCATCCTGATCCCCCTGTTACCTAGCAGTAGAAACTAGGTACCTGGGAGTTAGTCAGCTGTCACGGGCTGCTTCCTGGGCGTGGAGGCCTGGTCGAGGACCGGGGCCGCGGGGATACTAAGCCCCGAAATCATCTCAAGATAACTATCTCTAGAAGATAAACGGGTATATATATATGTTAATTGGTTTAGTGATACTGTTTTGTTTATAGGCACACAGGTCAACCTGTCAGACTGCATAGAACGTCGCTTTTCGCGCGTAGGCGTTACATAAAGCGCAAAAAATTGTCGTACTAGGTAATGGAAGCGGCTGGCGAAAGTGACGTATGTCTCGTGTTCTGTTTTGGGTTCTCTGGTAGGTTAGGAAAGGGTGCTTTAAATTGACCGTTTTCTTAACGATGGGGAACCTTAGAAAGACGGAGTGGACAGGCAGTGTTCTTCGCTGTCTCAGGGTTTCGAGGGACGATTGTATCTGGATTGTACCTTGATGGGGGAGGGGGGGTTCTGGGAGTTCTTCTACTTCCTTCAGGCCCAGCTCCGGGGGCCAGGCTTGACTTGTGAGGGAGTGTTAACCTAATATCTCCGCTTGTATTAGAAGAGAGAAGAGAAACCTGCTGCATGGGTAACAGCTTCTCCCCCGCCCCCATATCAACCTACCCTTTGCACCCTGGAGAGGCCACTCCAGACCGACAGCCAGAGCCCAACTCCATAGTCTCCTGAGACTGATGGATGCCTACTACTACTACTAATTTTTTCCTGTCTTGGGGGGGGCGGGGGCGGGGGGGGGGTTCATCTGACGATTCTACGAGGGAATCTCAGCGTCTTCTGTACTCATGTTCCTCTGCCACAAGCGTGTTGGTGTGAGCTAACGGCGTCTAGCTGTGGCTTTTCAAATCTGGGTTTTAAATCCATTTATCAAGATTGATTTTTTGGATTGTTTTGAGGGGGAATTAGAAGTCACCCCGACGGCGTTTTCTAACAGCGCCCCCCTCCCCCCTCCTTCCCTTCCAGCACTGACTCATATATTTCAGAAGTGACACGTGGTTTTCAGCACCGGGTTAAAATTTGCAGTACCGGGTACACGCTTACAGTACGGGCCCACACCTCCAACACCAACACTAGTTTCACCAGTCTTCTGGTTCACCAGTCTCCAGCTTCAACAGTCCCCAGCTTCAACAGTCCCCAGCTTCAACAGTCCCCAGCTTCAACAGTCCCCAGCTTCACCAGTCCCCAGCTTCAACAGTCCCCAGCTTCAACAGTCCCCAGCTTCAACAGTCCCCAGCTTCAACAGTCCCCAGCTTCAACAGTCCCCAGCTTCAACAGTCCCCAGCTTCAACAGTCCCCAGCTTCAACAGTCCCCAGCTTCAACAGTCCCCAGATTCAACAGTCCCCTGTTTCAACAGTCTCCAGCTTCAACAGTCCCCAGCTTCCACAGTCTCCAGCTTCAACAGTCCCCTGTTTCAACAGTCTCCAGCTTCAACAGTCTCCAGCTTCAACAGTCCTCAGCTTCAACAGTCCCCTGCTTCAACAGTCCCCAGCTTCAACAGTCCCCAGCTTCAACAGTCCCCTGTTTCAACAGTCCCCAGCTTCCACAGTCCCCTGTTTCAACAGTCTCCAGCTTCAACAGTCCCCTGTTTCAACAGTCTCCAGCTTCAACAGTCTCCAGCTTCAACAGTCCTCAGCTTCAACAGTCCCCTGCTTCAACAGTCTCCAGCTTCAACAGTCTCCAGCTTCAACAGTCTCCAGCTTCAACAGTCCCCTGCTTCAACAGTCCCCTGCTTCAACAGTCCCCAGCTTCAACAGTCCCCAGCTTCAACAGTCCCCTGCTTCAACAGTCTCCAGCTTCAACAGTCCCCTGCTTCAACAGTCCCCTGCTTCAACAGTCCCCAGCTTCAACAGTCTCCAGCTTCAACAGTCTCCAGCTTCAACAGTCCCCTGCTTCAACAGTCCCCAGCTTCAACAGTCCCCAGCTTCAACAGTCCCCTGCTTCAACAGTCCCCAGCTTCAACAGTCCCCTGCTTCAACAGTCTCCAGCTTCAACAGTCTCCAGCTTCAACCGTCCCAGCTTCAACAGTCCCCTGCTTCAACAGTCCCCAGCTTCAACAGTCCCCTGCTTCAACAGTCCCCTGCTTCAACAGTCCCCTGCTTCAACAGTCTCCAGCTTCAACAGTCTCAAGCTTCGACAGTCCCCAGCTTCAACAGTCCCCTGCTTCAACAGTCCCCTGCTTCAACAGTCTCCAGCTTCAACAGTCCCCAGCTTCAACAGTCCCCTGCTTCAACAGTCCCCTGCTTCAACAGTCCCCTGCTTCAACGGTCTCCAGCTTCAACAGTCTCCAGCTTCAACAGTCCCCAGCTTCAACAGTCCCCTGCTTCAACAGTCCCCAGCTTCAACAGTCCCCTGCTTCAACAGTCCCCTGCTTCAACGGTCTCCAGCTTCAACAGTCTCCAGCTTCAACAGTCCCCAGCTTCAACAGTCCCCTGCTTCAACAGTCTCCAGCTTCAACAGTCTCCAGCTTCAACAGTCTCCAGCTTCAACAGTCTCCAGCTTCAACAGTCCCCTGCTTCAACAGTCCCCCTCCTTCAACAGTCCCCTGCTTCAACAGTCTCCAGCTTCAACAGTCTCCAGCTTCAACAGTCTCCAGCTTCAACAGTCCCCAGCTTCAACAGTCCCCTGCTTCAACAGTCCCCTGCTTCAACAGTCTCCAGCTTCAACAGTCTCCAGCTTCAACAGTCTCCAGCTTCAACAGTCCCCTGCTTCAACAGTCCCCTGCTTCAACAGTCCCCTGCTTCAACAGTCTTCAGCTTCAACAGTCCCCAGCTTCAACAGTCTCCAGCTTCAACAGTCCCCAGCTTCAACAGTCTCCAGCTTCAACAGTCTCTAGCTTCAACAGTCCCCAGCTTCAACAGTCTCCAGCTTCAACAGTCTCCAGCTTCAACACTTTCCAGCTTCAACAGTCCCCTGCTTCAACAGTCTTCAGCTTCAACAGTCTCCAGCTTCAACAGTCTCCAGCTTCAACAGTCCCCAGTTTCAACAGTCTCCAGCTTCAACAGTCCCCAGCTTCAACAGTCTCCAGCTTCAACAGTCTCCAGCTTCAACACTTTCCAGCTTCAACAGTCCCCAGCTTCAACAGTCTCCAGCTTCAACACTTTCCAGCTTCAACAGTCCCCAGCTTCAATAGTCTCCAGCTTCAACAGTCCCCAGCTTTAACAGTCTCCAGCTTCAACAGTCTCCAGCTTCAACAGTCCCCAGCTTCAACAGTCTCCAGCTTCAACAGTCTCCAGCTTCAACGATTTCCAGCTTCAACAGTCCCCTGCTTCAACAGTCTTCAGCTTCAACAGTCTCCAGCTTCAACAGTCTCCAGCTTCAACAGTCCCCAGCTTCAACAGTCTCCAGCTTCAACAGTCTCCAGCTTCAACAGTCCCCAGCTTCAACAGTCTCCAGCTTCAACAGTCTCCAGCTTCAACAGTCTCCAGCTTCAACAGTCCCCAGCTTCAACAGTCTCCAGCTTCAACAGTCTCCAGCTTCAACAGTCCCCAGCTTCAACAGTCTCCAGCTTCAACAGTCCCCAGCTTCAACAGTCTTCAGCTTCAACAGTCTCCAGCTTCAACAGTCTTCAGCTTCAACAGTCTTCAGCTTCAACAGTCCCCAGCTTCACCAGTCTTCAAAATACTCTAACTAATAATCTCATTGACATCATAAAGGTAAACATTGGTTACATCTAAAATTGATTTATTCGCAAGTGAGTTTACATTCCTCGTACGAAGCATCTGCCTGCAAGCCTTTTAGTGTGGCTTACCAGCTCTTTTACGCAGGTATTGGAAGGTATCTTCCTACACGAGGTATCGTCCCACACCAGGTATCGTCTCTCGAGCCGCAGGAGAACGCGATAGCCTGAGGGGAAGGTGGTATATGTGTGTGTGTGAGAACCATCTCACGTTTCCTCTTCCTTCTTCATCGTTTGTTGACGCTGGTGTGAGGCTCGCGCGCTAGGCGGCCGCCGTCTCCGAATCCATCATGGCGCGACTTGACTTCTTGTTTACCTTTCTGGCGACCCGATGTTCCGTTCCTGCCAAGACCATTCGTGCCCTTGGTTCATGTCGAGGCTTTAAGAGGCCGTATCTACCATATCTCCGACTTTCTGGACGTTGAGGGGAGAGTAGCGAAGCCAAAGCCGCCGCCATAGGTCTCGAGAAGGAGGGTCGGGATGAAGTGTTGTCAAGACGCGGGTGGCGGGTTATCCATTGGGTTTCACTTTGGGTAACGGAGTGAAGAGGTCCGCGCCGGGTCTAGTCAGGGGGGCGTGGCGGAAGCCCTAGCTTACTTCTCACAGCTGTGGGGCTCAAGGTGGGCTACCTGGGCTACCATACAGGAAGGCTACCACACCCTTCTCCAGGCAGGCTACCACATCCTTCTCCAAGCAGGCTTCCACCCCCATGGAGAAGTTCCGGTGGCGCTTCCAAGATATAATTGGGGTGTTAAGGGCTACTTTGGTATATGTGGGAGCAGCCGGCCTCCTCGTGATATAATGTGGGGCAGCTATTGCCTCTCTAAGACACACTGGGGAGTTGCTCGTCGCCCTCCAAGATATACTACTGCAGGAAAGTTGATTCTCCAAGATAAACTGGGAGTAGGTAGTTTCTATGACTGTCGCTGTGTCTGTCTGTCTGTCTGTCTGTCTGTCTGTCTGTCTGTCTGTCTGTCTGTCTGTCTGTCTGTCTCTCTCTCTCTCTCTGTATACATTTTCAGGAATATATAAATGGTACACAGGCTGAGAGGAAGGAAATGTGAGGGAGACTAGGAAGGGAGGATTTACACACACACACACACACACACACACACAGGGCCTCGCGGCTAAGTGGAGAACGCTCGGGGGTCGTAGCCGAAGGGTCTGGGTTCTATTCCAGGCCAAGGTAGAAACAAATTGGCAATTTTTCTTTCATCCTCACGCTCCTGTTCACCTAGCAGTAAATAGGTACCTGGGAGTTAGACAGCTGCTACGGGGCTGCTTCTTGTGTGATGTGTGTGTGTGTGTGTATGTGTGCGAGTTAGAGCGAAATATATGTAGTAGACATAACAAAGGAAAAAATAGATTAGAAAGGCGGGGTCCAAGAACTTGCTATATATATATATATATGTATATATATATATATATATATATAATATATCTTATATATATATATATATATATATATATATACATAGATATATATATATATATATATTGTGACGATAATCTCTTTCAAGAGAGATTGAGCCTGCTCTTCCCTACATAATTACGTCAAAATACAAGATACGTTCACCAAAGTATCGCCAAACGTTTTGCCCAGAGAGCAAATCGTACCCAGCACACCTGGCCACCGCCGTAACCAGCTAACTGCTCATCCTCTGCCTGCCTGTTGCTGATTGGCTGGTGTCTCGTCGCACCTGCCCTCCGCCTCCACCACAAGTCGAAGTCTGGGCTGCAGTGCGCCAGTCTCGTCAGAATATCTCAGTGCTCCATGCAGTTGACATCTCTCGCTGGTAGACTAAGCCTTGGCTTTCGTGTACTAAGGGAGGTGGTAGCTCGAAGCCAGTATTCCAGCACCCGTTACATATTTTATTTTGCTATCACTGTAACTTACTTGTCTTAGCGTAACTTTTCATTTGCCAGTGATTATCATGTTATTTTGTTGTTTTTGACTTATCCTGCATATTTTATGAGATTGCCTTTATTCATGTCTTGTTTTCTAGAGTAATTAAAATTTTCATTGTTTATATACTTGTGTTTTGTGTGTCTTCCCATTACCTTACCACAGACGAAAGGACAAAACTTTTCTTTTTTTTTTGTCATGTGACGAGGCCTGCCCCTAGCTTTTGAAACAGCCGAACACCAACGCTTTACCGTCACAATATATATATATATATATATATATATATATATAATATATATTATATATATATATATATATATATATATAATATATATATATTATATAGCATTTTTACATAGCAGTAAAATGCTATGCCCAAGATTACTATCCGAGTGCCGGCGGTGGGGTGATTCAAATAGCCTCGGCTATAACTCATTATGTCCGGTTCGTGATGGTCAAGTGGAATTAAGGCGTCTTGTACATACCAGTTGCGTTGCTTCTGGGAGTATGGGTTCGAGTCACTTCTGGGGTGTGAGTTTTCAGTTATATATATATATATGTGTGTGTGTGTGTGTGTGTGTTGTACCTAATAGCCAGAACACAATACTCGGCCTACTATGCAAGGCGCAATTTGCCTAATAAGCCAAGTTTTCCTGAATTTATATATTTTCTAATGGTTTGCTTATGAAATGATAAAGCTATACATTTCACTATATATGAATTAATTTTTGTTAATTTGAGTTAAAACTAAAGTAGATATATGACCGAACCTAACCAACCCTACCTAACCTAACCTAAATCAATAATTTATGTTTTTAATATAAATAATAATTATATTTGCCAATGG